CAAGGTGAAAGGAGAAAGCACAAAAGCCGGGTTGCAGCTAAACGTCAAAAAAACCAAGATTATGGCAACAAGAATGATTGACAACTGGAAAATAGAGGGAGAAACCGTGGAGGCCGTGACAGACTTTGTATTTCTAGGTGCAAAGATTACTGCAGATGCAGACTGTGGCCAGGAAATCAGAAGACGCTTACTTCTTGGGAGGAGAGCAATGTCCAGTCTCGATAAAATAGTGAAGAGTAGAGACATCAGACTGGCAACAAAGATCCATTGCCTAGCCAAAGCCATGGTATTCCCTGTAGTCACCTACGGATGTGAGAGCTGGACCTTAGGGAAGGCTGAGCGAAGGAAGATCGATGCTTTTGAGCTGTGGTGTTGGAGGAAAGTGCTGAGAGTGCCTTGGACTGCGAGAAGATCCAACCAGTCCATCCTCCAGGAAATAAAGCCCGACTGCTCACTGGAGGGAAGGATACTAGAGACAAAGTTGAAGTCCTTTGGCCACATCATGAGAAGACAGCAAAGCCTAGAGAAGACAATGATGCTGGGGAAAGTGGAAGGCAAAAGGAAGAGGGGCCAACCAAGGGCAAGATGGATGGATGGCATCCTTGAAGTGACTGGACTGACCTTGAAGGAGCTGGGGGTGGTGAACGGCCGACAGGGAGCTCTGGCGTGGGCTGGTCCATGAGGTCACGAAGAGTCGGAGACGACTGAACGAATGAACAACAACAATGTTTTTAACCTGTTAATTGTCTAAATTGTTGTAGGTATTGTTTGTTTATTGATTCAGGCATCGAATTGTGCCGTTGTTTGTAAGCCGCCCTGAGTCCCCCCTCGGGGGTGAGAAGGGCGGGGTATAAGTAACTGAAATAAATAAATAAATTCATGGCCGGAATCACTGGGTTGTTATAGGCTTTTTGGGGCTATATGGCCATGGTCTAGAGGCATTCTCTCCTGGCGTTTCACCTGCATCTGTGGCAGAGGTTGTGAGGTAGTGAGACAACAACACAACAAGAGGAGTCCACAGCAGACACTCTGCTGGCTGTTGAATTGGATCACACGTTGGACACTTCCCAAGTGTCTAGGACTGTGTGATATTATTATTATTATTATTATTATTATTATTATTATTATTATTATTGGAAACACCACAAGATGAGTCCACAGCAGACACTCTGCTGGCTGTCGAATTGGATCACACATCGGACCCTTCCCAAGTGTCTAGAACTGTGTGATGTATCGGCGAATAATGCGTGCAGATCCCAGTAAGGTGGCCTTCTGCAGCTGGCAGGTGGCAATCTTGTCAGCCCCGATTGTGTTTAAGTGCAGGCCAAGGTCTTGAGGCGCTGCACCCAGTGTGCCGATCACTACTGGGACCCCCTTGACTGGCTTCTGCCAGAGTCTTTGCAGTTCGATCTTTAAATTCTCATATTGTGTCAGCTTTTCCAGTTGTTTCTCTTCAATCCTGCTGTCACCTGGGATTGCAATATCAACGAATCCATACTTTGTTTTTTAACACGATGGTGAGGTCAGGAGTCTTGTGCTCCAAAACTCTGTCTGTCTGAATTTGGAAGTCCCTGAGTAGCTTGATGTGTTCATTTTCCGTAACTTTTTCCGGCTTGTGATCCCACCAGTTCTTTATGATGGTCTTTGTGGCACAAGTTCCAGTGGATCACCTGAGCAAGGGTGTTGTGCCTCTGCTTGGAGTCTGTCTGCGCGATCTTCTTGCAGCAGCTGAGGATGAGATCTATTGTTTCATCTGCTTGGCGTATTCATTCGATGTAACTTTTTCCGGCTTGTGATCCTACCAATTCTTTGTCTCAGGAGGATGGTGTTTGTGGCACAAGTTTCAATGAATCACCTGAGCAACGGTGTTGTGCCTCTGCTTGTAGTCTGTCTGCGCCATTTTCTTGCAGCAGCTGAGGATGGGATCTATTGTTTCATCTGCTTGCCGTATTGATTCGATGTAACTTTTTCCAGCTTGTGATCCGACCAGTTCTTTATGGCAGGCAGATGGTGTTTGTGGCACAGGTTCCAGTGGATCATCTGAGCAAGGGTGTTGTGCCTCTGCTTGGAGTCTGTCTGCGCGATCTTCTTGCAGCAGCTGAGGATGGGATCGATTGTTTCATCTGCTTCCTTGCAGAGTCTGCACTTGGGATCTGTGGTTGACTTTTCAGTTCTGGTTTGGATGGCCTTGGTTCGAATGGATTATTATTGTCGTTGTTGTTGTTTATTTATTTATTTATTTATTTATTTACTTTATTTGTATACTGCAGTTTCTCAGCCCTTAGGCGACTCAACGCGGTTAACAACAAACAGGAGCAAAAATTCAATGCTAGCATCATACAAACCATTTAAAAACAATTAACACAATAATATTCTAAGTAATTACACACCAGTAAACAACTCATTAGCATCTCATAACTAGAATCATGATCCAGCTCGTCATCTGTAGTTCCGTTTTCCTATATTCATTACACTGCCTATCCAAACGCCTGTTCAAATAACCAGGTTTTCACTTTTCTCTGAAATACCATTAATGAGGGGGCCGATCTAATGTCCGTAGGAAGGGCGTTCCACAGCTGAGGGGCCACCACTGAGAAGGCCCTGTCCCTCGTCCCCGCCAAACATGCCTGTGTTGCAGGCCGGATTGAGAGTAGGGCCTCCCCAGAAGATCTTAAGGTCCTAGTGGGTTCGTAGGCTGAGATGCGTTCGGATAGGTAACTTGCTGCTGCTGCTGTTGTTGTTGTTGTTGTTGTTGTTGTTGTATTTATTTATACCCCACTTTATCTCTCCTGAAAGTGACTTTCCTTATGGCGCTAGCATTTCCAAAAATGTTCCATCTCATGATGAGACCATGCAAGTCTATTACATATATTCACATGGATATAGTTGTGTGTTTGTGTTTATGAAAGCCTTGTGAAATATACATACCATGCATGCATCTCTCAGCGGGAGGAATCCAGGGGAGAGGCCAATGCTCTGGGTTTTTGCAAGGAAGGCAAGAAGTCCCCGAGTTCTGCAATCCCTTTTTAGCATCTGGTGGAACCTGTTCTGGGCAGATCAACTTGGGAGGAAATTCCTGCACGCGAAGGCGGCTCCTTTTTAGGGAAAAGGGGTTCGGTGGGTTGGGGTGGGAGGTCTCCCCACTTGCATGGCAGCCTTATTTTTTCCCTTTCTGATGTCGTGATGCTTCTTCCCCTATTTCGTGCAGAGGAGCACCTTCAGCGCAGCGCTGAAATGAGGGGCTTCTTGGGTTCCTGCAAGTTGGGATTCAAAGAACACATCTTCAGTACTTCTCAATGGACGCATTTGGACTCAGTGCTGGGGATCCCTGGGATTTGCAGTTTTACTAAGGGCACAATTATATACTGTTCAATGAATGCACTTGGACTTAATGCTGGGGAGCTCTGGGATTTGGAGTTTTGCTAAAGGCGCATCTATATACTGTTCAGTAGACGCACTTGGACTCAGTGCTGGGGATCCCTGGGATCTGGAGTTTTACTAAGGGTTCATCTATATACTGTTTAATGAATGTACTTAGACTCAAATCTGAGGAACCCTGGGATTTGTAGTTTCACTAAGGGTGGATCTATATACTGTTCAGTAGACACACTTGGACTCAGTGCTGGGGAACCCTGGGGTTTGGAGTTTTACTAAGGGCGCATCTATATATTGTTCAACTTGAACAATACTGGGGAACCCACTGGGATTTGTAGTTTTGCTAAGGGTGCATCTATATACTGTTCAGTAGACGCACTTGGACTCAGTGCTGGTGATCCCTGGGATCTGGAGTTTTACTAAGGGTTCATCTGTATACTGTTCGATGAATGCACTTAGACTCAATGCTGGGAAGCTCTGGGATTTGTAGTTTTACTAAAGGTACATCTATATACGCTTCAACTTAAATAAACTTGAACTCAATAGTGGGGAACCCTGAGATTTGTAGTTTTAATAAGGGCACACACACATACATGTGCTGTTCAATGAATGCACTTAGACTCAGTGCTGGGGATCCCTGGGATTTGTAGTTTTACTAAGGGCACATCTATATACCATTCAGTTGACGTACTTGGACTCAATGCTGGGGATCCCTGGGATCTGGAGTTTTACTAAGGGCACAATTATATACTGTTTGATGAATGCACTTAGACTCAACGCTGGGGAGTTCTGGAATTTGTAGTTTTACTAAGGGTGCATCTATATACTGTTCAGCTTGAATTCAATGGTGAGGAACCTTGGGATTTGTTGCTTTACTAAGGGCACTACTATATAACTTACTCAGTGCTGAAGAACCCTGGGGTTTGTAGTTTTACTAAGGGCACAACTATGTAGTGTTCAATGAATGCAGTTAGACTCAATGGTGAGGAACCCTGGGATTTGTAGTTTTACTAGGGGCACAACTATATACTGTTCAATGAATGCAGTTAGACTCAATGCTGGGAAGCTCTGGGATTTGTAGCTTTACTAAGGGCACAACTATATACTGTTTGATGAATGCACTTGACTCAGTTCTGGGGAACCCTGGGATTTGTAGTTTTACTAAGGGTGCATCTATATATTGTTCAATGGACACCCTTGGACTCAATGCTGGGGAGCCCTGGGATTTGGAGTTTTACTAAGGATGCACCTATATACAGTTCAACGAATGCCCTTCTATATTCCACTTGAACTGCCACGGCTCAGTGTGGTGTCATCGTGGGATTTATAGTTTGTGGAAGAAACCTCCCTTCTGGATAGGTTCCTTGTATGGTTCCTTTAAAGTTCGGACTGAAACCTGGAGCGGACTGGGGAAAAAAAGAAATAAATCCCAACCTGCTGCTTGGGATTGTGTCTGCTGTCCATTTTCGCCGGTTGCCTCTTGCATTGCAAAGTTTTGACTCAACGGTTGTTGTGCCTGCAGATGTGTCAGGCCTTAGGACCCAGAGGGAGGCTGCTGGCCTTTCCTTGAGGGCTGGAGACTTGACTCACCACCTTTGCATTTATTTGCCTTTTTCCCTCTGCAGAGAACCATGGCTGCCTTCTGATCAGCGGGGAGGGAAGGACGGCGCTCGGCTCGGACCCCATGGCTGCCGCAAACAAGGGTAAGTAAGCGGGGCCAAAGGGACAACAGGGCCCACAATCCCCCCCCCTCCTCCTCCTCCTCCCATCCCTTTTGTCAATGTTATTGATCAGGGGTTGGCTCACTCTCCCTACTGGCCTCTGGTTCTCTGGGATTCATATACAATGATGTAAACATATGGTCTCTCCCCTTTCGCTTGATGTATATTATATGCTGATTATTTTATTTTGTTGTGAAATAGACATTTACTCTGCACGCTTATATCCCCATTTACTTAACTTCATGTATATTATATATTGTGTGTGTATATATATGTATATGTATATATACACACACACATACTCTTGTGTGTGTGTATGTGTGTGTGTGTATATATATATAAATAAAAAAACCATAAAGTTAAGTAAAAGGGGATATAAGATTGCACTATATATATATAGTCCCTGGTGGCGCAGCAGGTTAAACCACTGAGCTGCTTAACTTGCTGACCAAAAGGTAGGTGGTTCAAACTCAGGTAGCAGGGTGAGCTCCTGCTGCTAGCCCCAGCTTCTGCCAACCTAGCACTTCAAAAACATATGTATGTGTGTGTATTGACTTGACTTGATTCCAAACGATGCTTCATCTGACTACATTTCCCGTACTTGCCACTTTTATCCCCTTGTTAAGCTATCCCAAATACTCAGAAATTGGCTTCGCTTTATTTATTTTTTATTTATTTATTTTAAAGTTTTGTATACTGGCCTTCTCACCTCTCTTGAGGGACTCAGACCAGTATCCAACCATAATATCACACACAATCAAGAAACCATCATAATTCACATTACAGTAAAACCTTAAAATAGCAATTACAGTCAGTAACTATAGTGGTCAGTCGTCACACTAAAATCGTTGCTCCTCATCCTCCATCCATATCTCAGGGTGTTGGCTCACTCGTCGAATGCCTGTCTCCATAACCATAACCTGAATTGTTACCAGAGAGTTCTCATGATTTGAAAACAGCTCGGCACCTGGCCCAGCTGCAGAAATTATAGATAGATGGGAGGATAGATGGAGCTTTAGCTGAGATTCCCTTGTCGTCTTCTATCTGAGCCTGGCAGAACGCCGAAGCCACTGTTCGGCTTTTCTGTTTTGACTAATCTCCTCCCATCTATGTATTTGCTCTTAATTTCTGCAGCTGTTTTCAAACCCCAAATCATGAGAACTCTCTGGTAACAATACAGGGAGCACCCCATCATCCCCACACCCTTCAGGGACGTTCTCATGGGAAACTACACTTGGCACAGGAATCTCCAGGTCATTCACTGCAACAATGTCATTGATCAAACCACTGTCATCTTGAAACTAGTTGACATCACTCCCCAGATCCAAAGCACCCTGATCCTGAAACACAATCACAGGCTGAACTCCAACAATGTCATACCGCATTATCACAATTTCTACACCATTGGAGAAATTACACTGCTTAGCTGGTATTGCACCACCTGACATCTGCCAGGGAGTAGTAACCAATAGTGAAAGGACCAAGGCAGTGACATCTCCAGCCAAAACATCTGGGGACCCACAGGGTGAGCACCACTGCTTTAGCCTATAGAGCCCTGAACGGTTCCGGCCCAGGTTCCCTGTCCGAACGCATCTCCCTCTATGAACCATCTCAGAGATTGAGATCATCTGAGGAGGCCCTGCTCTCAGTCCCACCTTCTTCGCAGGCGTGGTTGACAGGGACGAGAGACAGGGCCTTCTCCGTGGTGGCCCCTCGTCTATGGAACTCCCTCCCCAGGGACATTAGATCAGCCCCCTCCCTCCTGACCTTGTGTAAGAAAGTAAAAATGTGGCTTTTTGATCAGTCATTGTACATAAATATGAATTTATGTGCAATTACTATTGAAATGGCCCAAACTATTACTTTGGATAATGTGGTTAAAAGTGAAGGCGTTGTTTCGTATGTTTGAATGTTTTAAGGCATTTTATATTTCTATTTAAATGTTTATTTTAACTGTTCGTTGCTGTAAATAAAAATAAACAAATAATTACCGTATATACTCGAATATAAGCCGACCCAAATATAAGCCAGGGCCCCTAATTTTACCATTAAAAAATTGGGAAAACATATTTACTCGCGTATAAGCCGAAGGTGGGAAATGCAGCAGCGATGGGTCAATTTCAAAATAAAAATAGATATCAATAAAATTACATTGATTGAGGCATCAGTAGCTTAAATGTTTTTGAATATTTACATACATTTACATAAGACTGCCCAACTCTGATGAATCCATTATTCTAACCTTCTTCAGTGTAGATGTGCTTATGTATCTTTCCAATAATAATAGTCCAAAATAATAAATGTAATAATAATCAATATAAATAAAAATGTCATGTTCGTTTGTGGGATTAACATATCTCAAAAACCACTGGACGAATGGACACCAATTTTGGACACAAGACCCCTCTCAGGCCAACGAGTGACCATCACTCATAAAACACTGAAAAACACAACAGAAGGGACTTAAAAGCCCAAAAACAAAAAAATACATTACAACGCATGCTCAAAACCACATATATACGCAAACACACATATATACACAAATATACGGGGTACTTCATTACTTACTTACTTAGGCGATCCCTCGTTGGACGAGTAAGATGGTCTTCCATTATGGATTTCCTTGTGGGTCCGTATGTGGCTGTGGAGCCCTATTCTTGACCCGCATCTTCTTCCGCAGTGAGGGCATTGGTTTCCAGGTGGAAGGCGGTCCCGGTTGGGGTTGGCTTGACGCGCCTTCCTCCTGGCACGTTTCTCTCTTTCACCCTCCACTCGTGCCTCCTCAAATTCTGCAGCACTGCTGGTCACAGCTGACCTCCAGCTGGAGCGCTCAAGGGCCAGGGCTTCCCGGTTCTCAGTGCCAAAGTCTTTAAGGTTGGCTTTGAGCCCATCTTTCAATCTCTTTTCCTGTCCACCAACATTCCGTTTTCCGTTCTTAGTTCGGAGTAGAGCAACTGCTTTGGGAGACGGTGGTCAGGCATCCGGACAACGTGGCCGGCCCAGCGGAGTTGATGTTGGAGGACCATCGCTTCAATGCTGGTGGTCTTTGCTTCTTCCAGCACACTGACGTTTGTCCGCTTGTCTTCCCAGGAGATTTGCAGGATTTTCCGGAGGCAGCGCTGATGGAATCGTTCCAGGAGTTGCATGTGACGTCTGTAGACAGTCCATGTCTCACAGGCATAGAGCAGGGTTGGGAGGACAATAGCTTTATAAACAAGCACCTTGGTATCCCTACGGATGTCCCGGTCCTCAAACACTCTCTGCTTCATTCGGAAAAATGCTGCGCTTGCAGAGCTCAGGCGGTGTTGTATTTCGGTGTCGATGTTGACTTTGGGAGAGGTGGCTGCCAAGGTAGCGGAAATGGTCAACATTTTCTAATGTTACACCATTAAGCTGTATCTCTGGCATTGGAGAGAGATTGGCTGGTGACTGCTGGAACAGCACCTTGGTTTTCTCAATGTTCAGTGACAGGCCGAGCTTCTCATATGCTTCTGCAAAGGTGTTTAGAGTGGCTTGTAGATCTTCTTCTGACTGCGCACAGACGACATTGTCATCAGCATACTGGAGTTCTATAACAGATGTTGTTGTAACCTTGGTTTTGGCTTTCAGTCTGCTGAGGTTGAATAGCTTGCCATCTGTCCGAAAGATTATTTCCACTCCGGTGGGAAGCTTCCCATCAACAAGGTGAAGTATCATAGTGATGAAGATGGAGAATAGAGTTGGGGTAATAACACATCCCTGTTTGACACCTGATTCCACCTTAAATGGGTCACTTTGGGAGCCATTGCTATCTAAGACTGTTGCCATCATGTCATCATGGCGGAGCCACAGGATGTTCACAAATTTGTTTGGGCACCCAATTTTTTGGAGGATGGTCCAGAGCGCTGCGATTCACTGTGTCGAATGCCTTTGCAAGGTCGATGAATGCCATGTACAGAGGTTGATTTTGTTCCCTGCATTTTTCTTGGAGCTGTCGTGCAGTGAAGATCATGTCCACGGTTCCTCTGGAGGGGCGGAAGCCGTTCTGGGATTCTGGGAGGTGTCTTCTGAGAGGGGTAGAAGGCAGTTTGCAAGGATTCTTGCGAGGATTTTCCCAGCTGAGGTTAGAAGGGAAGATACCTCAATAGTTTCCGCAGTCTGTTCTTTCTCCTTTTTTGAAGAGGGTGATGATGGTGGCATCCTTGAAATTTGCTGGGATTTTCTCGGTTACCCACACTTTTTCTAAGAGCTGGTGGAGTTGGTGTGTCAGCTCGGGTCCTCCCTCTTTAAAGATTTCAGCAGGGATCCCATCAAGTCTGCTGGCTTTGTTATTCTTCTGTTGGCTGATGGCATTGCTGACTTCTTCCAAACTAGGCAGTGCTGCAAGCTCATCCCTGGTTTGTTGTTGTGGGATTTGTGAGAGGACCTCTTCGGCCACATTGGAGCTGCGGTTCAGGAGGCTTTGGTAGTGTTCTTTCCAACGTAGTGCAATTGAGTTTTGGTCCTTCAGGAGTTTAGTTCCATCTGATGAGCGTAGAGGCTGTATGCCATGGTTTCTTGGTCCGTAGATGACCTTTGTGGCTTTGAAAAATCCCTGAGCATTATGGGTATCTGCCAGGTGTTGGATTTCTTTGGCCTTCTTTGTCCACCAGATGTTCTTGAGTTCTCTTGTCCTTCTTTGGACCTCAGCTTTTGCACTGGCATAGATCTTTTTCTTAGCAGCACAGTTGATGTCTCTCTGCCATGCTTGGAAGGCTTTCCTTTTCTTGTCAATTAGCTGTTGGATCTCGATGTCATTTTCATCAAACCAATCTTGATGTTTCTTGGCTTGGTATCCAATAGTTTCTTCGCAGGCTTGGATGATGGAGGTCTTCAGTTTGTTCCAATGTTCCTCAACATTTTCGGGGTGTTCTGTGGGTAGATGGTTCTTGAGTGCTGTTTGGAGATGGGCTCGTCTGGAGGGCTCCTGAAGGGCTTGGGTGTTCATTTTGCGCCTTGTCTTC